CTATATAAAGGCAACCAGACAGTTCAAACATGTCGACCGCTTCCATAATGTAGACAGTTTTCGAATATATATGTGAAACGACGAAGATGCGTCGTTATATATTTTTAATAAATTCGTGGAGTCGTACAAGTGATCGAGTCTGACGCATTGAGAAGCCATGCTATACTGGAAGACTACAATAAGTGGATTTGCAACTGAGGCAAAGCCCTTGGCACGTATAAAGTACGGAGAACCTTTTATAAAAGTCTTTTGGGTTTTCTATAATGAGTAAAATATTTCACCTTACCATGGCTACGAGAAAAAAACTCAAGTCGCGCTGTTTCGGAAAGCTCGTTGCGTCATTATGAAATTTTAGCCTATGTCATTGCAAACATCATTTTATAAGAAGAATGAATGTTGCTTGTGAAGCGCACGATTGTGCAAGTGTGTCAATTAAGAGACAAATATATAGTCCATGAACTGTAGCTATGGCGAATCCAGCGATAAATCATATTTTCTTAATCCAAAAGTGTCCAATCGATGATGGTCGTGTGAAGAGAGGGGTGAGCACAGAGAGTTATACTTCATTTTGTGTACTTCAGTTTGTATAAAAATCAAAGCTGTTCCATCATTAGATGTATTGGTAAGATTCCATACGTACAATCAATTTTTTAAATAACCAAGGGTAACTTATCATCCTAAGGTAAGAATTCGTTTATAATAATGAGCCGATAAACATCGTTGCCTTTCTTCGGACGTGATGTGCACATGCACACGTCCCTGGCTAGTTTATGTGCATTGAAGATTATAGGGTATACAAGACGAGCGCGGGGACCTCGTTGTCCCACTCGTATAAGTTGCCCATACGGTTGCCTAGATACACGGAAGTCGGTTATAAACTTACAATATGGTCGAAGGTCGTCGGAGGTATAAAGCAATGATCCATGTCGCACTAGAGCAAGATAAGCTACACGATGAACCGATGATATGAACAGTTTCCTATACCTCAAATTAGAATAGCATAAGAAGGCAGCAAAATTTTATTTTTGACGTCGACGTAGCAATCACAATCATATAAACGCATTGATAATCATGTCGATTGGCTGAGCAATATATTGATAATAGTAGAGATATTAGGTACAATAACAATAAGAAATATAGTAATAGTAATATAAACTAGAGAAGAAATAGAAGAAGCAAATAACAGTACAGGATAATGATAGTAATAGTAACAATATATGTCATAGTATTGATGCGTTACGTCCAACGTTACAAGAACTGCGAACTGCAAATTGACGTCTCCCCGCGTCGTATTAAGTAAGAACACATCAAATAAGTGCCCTTCTTTATTTGCAACAAATGTGCGACATAGAAAAACGTAGAATCTTGGCTAGCGCTGTGATAAAAAATGTTCAAAAGCTGAATATGGTCCAATAACACTAATATCCTGGAACAATTTTGGTATGGATGAATGTTGATGATAAATTATCATTTAAGATGACGATGGTAATTAACTGATGAGCTCTCATTTTTATATTTGACGTTAGTGATGAAAAGCCACTAGACTCTATAACATACTGTCAGGCACGTATATTTCGCCATCATTCCAGAAAAACTAACAGAAAGCATTGCATAGTCTTTGAACTGAAGAAGTGGTCAGCCTCTATACAATGTGAATGTCCAGAAAGATGTTATCAAATCATATGCTTCAGTACTTAATTATGTAATTTAGTGAAAGTGATATCGGTATATAAAGTCACTTGAACCCACCCACTTTTTTAGTAGTATTAACTTTGACAATACATCTGAATCTATGATGCCTTGAATAGGAATTTATGACCATAAATTGATTAAGTTACTAAAGTAGAACAACGTGCATGTCGTGTAGCTCCATATGTCATGTTGGTGTATACTTTCCGCTACAATACAACAATGTATTCCTCATCCATGCCATTTTCACAATATAACTAACTTATTACAATGTTTATTCGTTAGCAACGATGGGAGCAATACAGCAAATGAGCAACAGTGCTCGTGGATTCCGAAACCTATTCACAAACTCACCGGTATTCAAAGGAAAATGTTGAAGACATTCTAATAATCTTTCGATCATCTAACGAATCATCAGGCTCACAGGAATCACGGTTTTTAGTTTTTGGCACCAACAACGACAGAAATGCAAATAATATAAAGAATTTAGTAATATTCCAGTTTAAGCTGTATTATGAATGAATAGTGTGTACGCCGCATCATCTATCTCGCGTTTTATGGTAGGACAACCCGCAATTAAAGCACACTCGTTGACGATAAACAACAACCTAATTCCTGATCACGCAATCACCTTATATACTTATCAGTCAACAATTACTAACATACCGCGCCGTAACAATGGGTACGTTACTTGCAGGTTATGAGGGCTAGTGCTGCGCCCGGAGTGTCATCCAAATTCAATGTGATTTCACATCCGAAAAGGGCTATGAAAGAGACGACCACTGCGGCCGGCCATCACACCATTTTGCCCGAGGTTTTATTGCAAACTGATCGTTATCAAAATGGTTTGGGGAGAACTAACATGCCATGCTCGAAAACATTGCAAAAGCACGTTCAAAGGCCTCGAGCGGATGGTCCCAAAATCCCTTGCATCCGTCTCTCTCACTACCATCCTCCGTCAGGCTCGAAAGTGTTTTCGGTACACGGACGTACATCCCCAGATCCTGACTAGGAAGACCGTCTAATACGCCGTAAAGATCGGTCGCACCGTAAGGTACATATTTAATACTAAGGAATTTGAACGTTTTACCTGCTGTCAATTACTGTGCTATGCAATAGTTTTTGCAAAACGTGAATGGTTTTGATGGATTTGGATAATTGCCTGCGTCCTTTTATAGTACACAGAACACATAAGCAAGCAAATTAATGCCGTTTAAGGTGACAACAGCCATTTTTGCACTTTCAAGACTGCTAACATGACTTTTGCGCAGATTCGTCTGCTTCATATAGAGCTGCATGTGGAACATTCGATAAATCGAGAAAGAAGTCTACGCAGGGATTTTTGGGGCGGCCAAATGCGTCAGCCATTATTCAACCAAATTTCCGAACTCAACGGGCCTGTGACTTCGCGATAATTTGTCAAATTAGATCCGAGACCATTGAAATGAAGCCAGTAGCGTGCTCAAGCCATCTATGCTCATATATTTGTGTTTTAAGAAGTATGGGGGTGGGGAGTGGCTGAGTGACGGAGATCGGGACATGTTACAGGGTGTAGATGGTGCACACTATACCACCACGAAAGATTACGCCTAGTACAGGGACCTTCTAGTCAGCTTGCATAACGGATTGACAACTTAAGCGAGCTTCACGTTGTTGGAATTTCGAGCTCTTTCGTCGACACATACTCCATTGTAGTCCACCTAAATGACCATGCTCACATGATGTGATGAGCGATGCTGCGCTATCGCGGATAAGCTTCACATCGTACAGTTTGCACACCATCCCCCCAATTATAGCAAGTGACGGGTGCTTGATTACATCGCAATGGATACAAAGAAAAGCATATAAGTGAACGACGGATTTCACTTAGCTGGCGCCGACGTGGAGCCTGGTCTCGATAATTTCTTGATGGAGACATCAATTACTGGATTATACGCATTTGACTACGGGTCATCCGGGCAAGGATGGTAGTAGGGTAACAATTTGGGCAAAGTTTTGTTCCTGTACACGCTAGAAACAGATTTTTTAGGCAAGCTTCCAGGGGTATATAGGCCCCTTGCAGTGTGAAATTGGCGAGCCGTTCGATCTACTAAATGACTGCGATGTACCTTAAAGGAAGCGACAAACAAGCACACTAGGGAGAAGTCGAGAAATAGGACTGTGTCTTTTGCATAAAGATAACTTATTTCCATTTTTCTTTCTACTACGCGAGTTGTCCATTTGAACTTAGTATGCCGTGGTATACTCGAGCGCTACACTCCTCTAGGATAAGTGCATAATGTAGGCGTAATATTCACGGTAGAAAGTAACAGGCGAGTCAAACAGAGCGACAATGCGATTTCTCGTTCTACTACACTTCGCACCATCAATTGATGTAGAAACCGTCTACATTAGCTTCAACGATGTAGCACGCGATTTCAATATCGATACTCAATGCTACGTACGACTTAACGCGCACGCAGATACTTCGGAAGATCGCATTACCACTACTGCTGGCGAATCTACCTAGCTCAGACCTAATATGTTCACGTTTCTTGCCATCTTCGGAAAATGTTGCAGGCTCTGGCCGTCGCCCAAATAGCACACTCTTAGTTTGGCCATGGCTGCGCCAATTTTTTATCACGTCGGTTGCGTTGGCATTTCATTCGAGGACATCCCCGTCTACGCCTAAATGAAAGGGTACCTGCTTCGCAGCGTTCATGACATCGAGCGATGTCATCCCAGTGGACAAGCGTGTCTGTCGCTGCTTTATAAGGGTTGTTGTTCTTCTGTAGCCAATCGAAAAGCAATGACGCACTCTGCAAACGGAAGGTGGAAAGTCGTACTGAATTTGACCATAGACGATGTCGCGGGCGACTGTTGTCGTTTGAGTCGAGCCATATCTTTCATCGTGCTCCCTTCGCAAGCACTTTCATTAATATCAGTGAACTGTTGGCTTTATGAACCTGCCTTTCTATTTGCAAGCGTATTATATAGTTGCATTTTTCAGAACAAGAGGACTCAACACGTGTAGGATCAACCGGAATTCCCTACGAGCTCAATCCGATCTGTTTTTATAAGCAAACCGCCGTAGAAATGAATGTAGCGCCTGATGCTGAATAACCTGCAGCTTGTTCGTGCTGATGGTGATGTAACATCAAGGCCGAGAGTATCGGTTTTTGTCATCTTTATGTTGCCACACGCCTGGTTTGTACTTTGTGATACAAATAGAACGGATCTAAACGACTAAGAACGCGACGAACTTTTGTTACGGCTTCGAAATTCTAGTAAATTGCACTTTCACAGTATCATCTCGTGTTTCCGAGCGTGTGTCAAATATGTACGGCGCTAACGCTGTAGCAAGGCAAAGTCCGCACCACACGACCCACAGCCTGCGCGCTACCTTCACATAACACCAGCGGCAAGTCCGGACGAATGTACTCTGGCCAGTACATAAACTCAAAGCGGCATATCGTAGACACAGGTATGGACATCGACGGCAGCGGGGAAATCGAGACGTCCGGCACAGCGCTTTTGGATATTCCTAATCGAATGATCTTTGCCATCTGCCGCACATGGCCGGTATGAATGACCGCTTGGAAGTTCTCTCGAAAAGTACGTGCGTCTGGCAGAAAGTGTACTTCTGCATCAAATTGGCGCGTGGCCAGTGGTTGGACACTCGGGTGCACGAGTATGGTACCCTTTCTGATACTGTGAGCTGGCTGTGCGCCAGAAAAAAAGCGTATCAACACAGCGCCTGTATCTCCCGCACTAAGTCGTTGTGCTGCCTTGTGCCGCACTTCAATATTTCCAACTGTGACATCGCAAAACTGTCCATCCGTGTCAGGTCCAAGCAACATGCGCTCTCCTACGCAAAAGGTACCAGCTCGTACGAGCCCAGTCACAACGGTACCCGAATCTTCAATATCGTAGGCTTGGCTAACTTGAAACTCAGCAGGTGTCTTCGCCGACCACACGTACTTGGGCTCGAGCATAGCCAAATGGCCTTGCAAAACGTCTAGCCCACTACCAGTCACACTTGATACTTGAAATACCGGCACAATCGACGTCGACGTAAGCTTCATCAAATCCTTCCTGACATCCAATAATAAGCTCTTGCTTTTCGGTGCCACAGCAACTCGCTGAGAACGGACAAATACCCTTCAGCAACTGAACAACCTCAACCAGCACTTGTTGTATTCGTTCGCCTGCCACTCGGTCCGTCTTTGTAATGACCACAAAAATGGCGACGTTCAAAGCAGCAGCAATCTTGACGTGCTCGCGCGTCATGTCGCGAACACCTCGCACAGCATCAACAACAAGCATTGCATAGTCCGAGAAATGGCCGGCCAGTCCCGAAGCTGTGCTCTTAAGATACTTCTTGTGCCCTGCTAGATCACTGAGCGTAATCAACCTGTCATGTCTCCCAACTGTTCGGCTTTCCACCTCCTCGTTACCACTGTCTCCAAAGTCGCAGGTGTCGAACGTGTCCATGCAACGAAATGTGCCATCTGCAGCCACGGCAATCGTGTGCTCACTCACGCTAGATGTGCAGCCGTTTTCTAATTCGTGGCGGTGGCGACACACCTGCATCCTAGCCAATCCGGTACCATCATCCAGACAGCCGCTCAGCAGCACTCCTACCAGCGTCGACTTGCCGCTCTCAAAATCTCCAATCACTGGTACTGAACGTCGCAAGAGCAAAGAAAAAATAGTGTTAGTACCGAAAATATCACGGAACAGTCGGTCATGAAAACTATCTATCTGTCTGGTGGTTCCCCACTATCTCTCTCTCTCGATCCAACGAGCTCTCTATCTTTCGGTGATATACATGCACATATATGGATATGTATGCGACAAAGATGCAATCTGTTTAAATACGTACTACGGAGCCGTTTCGACACATTGTGTTCAAGCACTCTTGTGATCTGAATTCGAGCGGCCATCAGCCCCGCTTCTCGACCGTCTCGGAATCTCGACAACGACATTTGTGCACGCACTACATGGCACATTCTGCATCCACAACACAAGCGTTAGACCATGGATGTCGACTAGCTTTCGTCTCTCCCTCTCTTCCGTAATCACCCTCCCTCGATACTGAACACACGTCACAAATAGTACTCGACAATCGATCGAGTGAGATAGCACGGAAAGTACTATGCGTCGCTCCCTACCGAGCAAGAGCTTGCAAAGAGCGCAGCAACGCAGTCTCCGGGAGCCCAAGCACCTCTCCATTGTCACGCACGCCAAGCTCATAGAAAGCTGTACCGCCGCCTTCGTTCAGGCGCCAGTGCATCTGCGTCGTGAGTTGACGCAGGCGGTCGGGCGTGAGCTCGAGCAGCTGCTGCTTGTACTCGACGTTCCCTTCCTCCACCTCCTCAGGCAATCGGTCCGGCACGGTACCATTCGAAGAACCAGTAGCGCACAAGAACTTATCGCGCACTTGGCGGCGGAGGGCCGCGAACCCCACGTCCGGTTGTACGAGGTCTGCCATGGCTGAATATCCTTTCAAAAGCGATACACGACTTTGCTGACACGTTTAACATTATATTTTTGCAGGCCTAAACAGTCTTTTTATAAAAACAACTTTGTTTTGCTACAAGGTTTCACGGTACGGTGCGCGCCACCTATAACCTGTACCTTTTTTATTTTTACGAGGACAAATTTGACAAAAAAATATTTATATTGCCGTGTCAGCAACCGAAAACGCCTATTCCAACGCTCCCGTCGCACTGCACAGACTAATTACGTCTTTTGAGCGTTTCAACACCAACTAATGTACTTATCAGTCAAAAACTACCAACATGCCGCGCCGTAACAATGGATACGTTACTTGCAGCTTATGAGGGCTAGTGCTGCGCCCGGAGTGTCATCCAAACTCAATGTGATTTCACATCCGAAAAGGGCTATGAAAGAGACGACCACTGCGGCCGTCCATTACACCATTTTGCCTGAGGTTTTATTGCAAACTGATCGTTATCAAAATGGTTTGGGGAGAACTAACATGCCATGCTCGAAAACATTGCAAAAGCACGTTCAAAGGCCTCGATCGGATGGTCCCAAAATCCCTTGCATCCGTCTCCCTCACTACCATCCTCCGTCAGGCTCGAAAGTGTTTTCGGTACACGGACGTACATCCCCAGATCCTGACTAGGAAGACCGTCTAATACGCCGTAAAGATCGGTCGCACCGTAAGGTACATATTTACTACTAAGGAATTTGAACGTTTTACCTGCTGTCAATTACTGTGCTTTGCAATAGTTTTTGCAAAACGTGAATGGTTTTGATGTATTTGGATAATTGCCTGCGTCCTTTTATAGTACACAGAATACATAAGCAAGCAAATTAATGCCGTGTAAGGTGACAACAGCCATTTTTGCACTTTCAAGACTGCTAACATGACTTTTACGCAGATTCGTCTGCTTCATATAGAGCTGCATGTGGAACATTCGATGAATCGAGAAAGAAGTCTACGCAGGTATTTTTGGGGCGGCCAAATGCGTCAGCCATTATTCAACCAAATTTCCGAACTCAACGGGCCTATGACTTCGCGATAATTTGTCAAATTAGATCCGAGACCATTGAAATGAAGCCAGTAGCGTGCCCAAGCCATCTATGCTCTTATATTTGTGTTTTAAGAAGTATGGGGGTGAGGAGTGGCTGAGTGACGAAGATCGGGACATTTTACAGGTTATGGATGGTGCACACTATTTGATAAAGGATAGAAGCGACTACGACTGAATATGCAGATAATTATACAATCCTGCACTAGAAAAAATCGAGCATTCATATCACAAGAGTGTTGAAATATCATATATGTTGTCGTTCGATCATGACACTCTCGTTTGGTGCGGCTTCGTGTCCAGCGATCACGCAAGCGGTTAACTCTTCACAGCTGCCCTTTTTCTAAAGAATGAAAGGCTGTAAATGACGGTTACTCAGGATACTGCGTTTAAAACAAAGAGCTTTTAGGATAAATAGTTCTGGAAAAGGAGCTATTCGCAATCGAACATGAATTGTTTCTGGACAGGATGTATGTATTTGATCTTGGATAGTGATCAACTATTTGCACCAACGCTAGAATACGAAGATGAACTATGCGGTAATGCCAACGTCGGATGGGTAAATGAGACCACCATGAAGCGAACAATTGACCTATACAGCGGAAGTTTAATGGTGCTACACACAGTTGGGCATGTACAATTAAAAAACTTGATGTTGTCGTTGCAGCAGCCCCCTCCCCACCAAGTGCTGCAGATTAGTGCGGCTTAAATTGAAGCGCATTCCACGCGATATTGATATAGTCTTGTACAAAATGGAAGATAATTTCCCTAAAAGTCAAATCTTGAAAGCCCAGGCTTGTGAAAAGAACGTTTAGTACGCATGGACCCCAAAAGTCAACTGTTAACGCATTTGCGGTACAATCGAAGGATGCCTCGGCATATTTAAAAACGATGGCAAACCCATTTTTAGTGTTAAAAATCTGGGATACTGCAAACTTACATGGTTGGGCACGTCCTATAGTTTATGGTATATTTCGTAATTATAGACGGTCTGGATAAATATGATCACAACTCCGACGAACAAAAATTCCCTTTCTCTCAATATTTGATGGTGTATATATGGGATATTGCCATATGATTATAGCCAATACGTGATTTATCATTATGCAGTTTCACCAATTCGGACTATTAGGGGTAGGGCATATTCATTCCGACAGCATTAAGACAAATTTTGCCGAAATGAAGCCACAGATATGTTTGATCTCCATACAAAGCCTACTTTAAGGCTCATTGTATTGCATGTTGTAAAGGTTCCAACAAAGTTGACTTCCTCGTAATTTATGAGACGTTTAACGTATTAGAATTATATCGTAGCTATTTACAACTGCAAGTAATCTCCACGATAACATATTCACTGAGGATATGTTGAAGTATGTCTGCGCAGTTTACAAAGGCTTAGTCGTAGCCGAAGTAAACTGAATATAATCTTCAATATACACTAGTACACTTAAGTAACTAGACAGTACAGGAACGTGAGCATCCAGTCGGTTGTTCCAGCCAACACTAAGTCGGCCATGTCTACAGCAGTAAACAACATACCATATACCTCCGTCAAATTACCTCGCTGTAAAACGGCTAAAAGTATCTGTTTACAGTGATCTATCTGGAAAGTTGTCATACTCCTCGCCTACCTCAAGGAAAGTCATCTAAATTAAGCTTAAAACGCTTGACTCTTCTATTACAGTCAAGTAACGAAGTGGTAGCTGGGATTCTTTGCTCTAAAAAGATGAATCGTGTACGACTTATAACTAGAGATAGCGCGCACTCTGGATTATCACTGGATTACTAGAGTAATGTGATTTCAAAGGAACTCTGCATCATATACATAAGGTGATATTTTATTTCTTATGTTGAAGATTTACTTGAATGCCAGGATATATTTACGGACCACCAGGACGCTGCACTTTTGTGTCTAATGTGGCATGCCTTTGGCCAAGCGTCTGATATGTTGCCCGTCCTCAAGCATGGTATGTCCGTAGCGCTTACAATGTTGAGCACATACAGAAACCTCAATGAAAAAGTTTTGGGCTAGAAAATTGTGACGACCAAGCCGTTGATTGCAACTAGAGCCATTACGGACCTATCTCCATTTAACACAAGACAATATTGCGCATATCATCAGACAACAAAAGTACCTTTCATTACAATTTATATATATAGTCAGGATAAGCAGACTGCTGTCATATTTAGTGCAATAAATAGAAGCGTCAGCATTTGTTTTAGTAAGCCTGCGTCTATAAGCAAAATATAAGTGGCACGATTCACCGATGAGTTATTGAATTTGTCTTAAACTGAGTCATTCGATCTATTTATGTCTAGTCACACATCGCACAATAGTGGAAGAAATAAACAGCACAATAAACTTCAGACTGCACAAGAGATCAAGAAACAAAAAAGCAACATCGACAACAGCATCTGTATCAGCATCAACAGCAACAGCACTAGTACCAGCAACAGCATCTACAGCAACAGCACACAGCAACAGCATCGTCAGACTTCATATGAGGTATAGAAGAACAAACAGCAACACTAACAACAACAACAACAACAACGTCACAAAGTATAAAGTCAGCCAGCACACGAAATGGAAAAACAAACAGCAGCAATTACACCGGACTGCACATGTTATAGAGAGAAAAAAAGCAACATTAAGGTCAGACTGCACCTGTAAATCCTTGTACTACGTAATGTTACTTATTACACGGGCGATTGTATTCGATTCGTCGCTGAGTGTGTCATTTACCGGACGCAACGAATTCGAAGCATGCTGTATTTGGCCTATAGAACGAACAACCTCATACGTGCATGCCTTATATCTAGTCTCGTTTTTAAGAATGAAAGCATCAGACCATTTAATTATTCTAAGTCGCACCCCATTGTCCTAGTCACCAATAGACACTATAGGATGAGCTTCGTACTTGGACATTATAAAGTCTCATTCAGTAGCACCTTTCAGATAGGATTGTATATCGCTTGCTCAGGGCACACGGCTGTAGTGAGTGCCAACACAAGTCAAAAGTATATTCAGTCAGTATGTAGATAATGACCACTTTAATGATTCCCCAATAGTGTTCCCTTTCTTAATTATAGACCACAATTATTTTCTTAAATCTTTGTCGAAAAAAATGTCGGAATCGTTATGGTATGGTACTGTCGTAATAAATCGAGACCGCGCTTCGAAAGAGTGCGGCGCTCCTATCAGAGTTTCACAAATGGTGGTGAAGGTGCCAAGCAAAAGTGTAGATCTTAATTATCGTGCATCCAAATTATATATATAAACAATCCACGTTACCCGAAACCAGTGTGCATGCCTAGGAACCCTTTTTTTACCATAGGAGGCCCTCTTTGAATGCGTGTGGACAAGTCTTGCATTATTATTCATTTTTTATGAATTTGTTTTACTGATCGCTTCTCCTTTACCAATCATTCGCCATCATTTGTGTGAAAACACGCATAAAAGGTATCTTGATCGCCAAATCTATTTTAATAACCCAAAGCGGCTCGTATATCCTACTTAACGTAATACAAAAACCGAACAACTACGCCCTTGCTCGCTCAATATAAAGATTAAACATTTGAAAATAAGGCGACGTGACATTTTACAGCGTTATGACACCCTCTATGGTATCGAACCTGGCGCGGACAGTCATTAGTGACAGAATAAACACGAATTGGGTAAGGCTTGTTCAATAGGTAAAGGGTTCATCTAAGCAGATAGAAACAAGCAATACATACGCTATAGACTCTGCTACCATCACTCGTTCGCGCAGCTCCAGTACCTCGTGTCCTTGGTAGGTTTATGCTTAATGTATCAAGATGATCTGGATCAGTATCTAGCACCAGGAACGTCATAAGCCCGCGACGCTGACGTCGGAGCCATCTCAGGCTCTGGCGCGTGCGAGGCTGTTTCGAGGCTGCTAGAATTGATGAC